GTTTTTCTCACTTTTCATGTAAGTGACATAAGGTTTATTTTCTTTTACGATCTGACACTCTTCAGATGATGATGTCATTTCCTTATATTTTCAGGAGACAACATCATATGATGAAATTCAGGCCAGCCCTTTATTGCCTGACCATGGGAAGCCTGTTTTGGGAGTTCTAGGCGGTTCTACGTATGTATCCTTTCCTACACTTTACATTTTTACCTTTCAAAATTTACAAATTTGATCCATCTTAATTTCTATTCAATAAATTTACAGGCTCTGACCTTCTCAAAAACTTATCAGAATAACGTTGACTGAAAGGCTTCACTTTCAGCTTGTACCATATTACTGTCCATATTATTCCTATTCTTTAAGAGATATTTTGAGATTTTGACTCAATTTCCTCAATGTTAATGACCCATTGCACTCTCAGGTGCTACATTATAATAAAGTGTTTTTATTACAGTATGCATGAATTACTTAATAGTACACTGATTCTTTGAAATAAAAGATAATTAGACATTACGGTTTCTCACACATCGGAATTACATTTTTATATCTTTAAAAGTTACATCTGTTGCCACTGTTGGGCGTACAACTTTAAGAACTCGGGAGTACATGACTTAAAGTCTCATGCAAGATCATTATAAAATAAGAAGTTTACATTTAATTAATTCCACCATAGCACTGAATTGATGATTGACTCCATTTGAGGAGAAGTAGTCTTAAGGAGATAAGATCTTGTCTCAACTCCAGCTCTGTTGCCTCATCAACCTACCCGGGGAGAAGGTATGGCTGGATGAATGACAGAGCTGGTGGCACATATTTATATTGTTTACCGATTGTCCTGCTGTTTTGAGAGTGCGAGGCTTGCCAGAATCTTCGCCATCACGTCTCAATTAACAAAAACAGAAAAGTTGTTAAATAATTTGGTAATTGTTTACTTGAGTGACTCCTCGCCCTGGAGTCACTCAAGTATACCATCGGAAAGGTATTTTTCAGTAGAATCCTGAACAGTATTTATATATTGGCGCTCGAGTCTGGTTTTCCTCAAAATTAAATAAATATGCGTCGCCGCTAACCTTCAGATGCACTTTGAAGACGGCAGGATAACTTACGTTTACGGCTGGTCCTGACGTTGGTCGCTCCGGCTCGGGTTTTTAAATCATTGCTCCTGCATTGAAGACTTTGCCTGATTCATACTATCAGGCTTTCTTTCTCTACCGTTGCTTAGATCACACTTTTCACACTTCTCCAAAAATGCCTTCTGCTTGGCGTGGTCCTACCCAGAAAGGGGG